TTTTATCAGGATTATGTAATTAATAATCAACATTAAAACATTACGAAAACTTCCTGGTAACTTTTACTGGAACAGGAAACTTGTATGCAGTAGACGGTGATCTCATCAGTAATCTTGAAAAAGATTTTTGTTTCACTTATAAACAAATTCATGACATACAAATTAGAGTTGAATGTAAAATATATTTTTCATCTGTCACTAGTTAATTGTGTAAACTTGTACCAGTCACTATGTTGTAATAAAAACAATCTAAATTGAACATCATGCATGTGAACTGCAGACATCAAAAGACTGAGGAATATTAAATATAATAAAAAAAAAACAATACTAATTAATGCAAAATAGAAGAATTGATAATTTCAGATTTCACCCAATCTAGTTTTAAAGCTTGAAAAAAAGATGGTAGAGATGAAAAGATTGAAAAAAAAAATCAAAATATGAATCATTCAAAAAAAATTATCACAACATAACTACAAACAATAGTTTTACTTGTAAATATATGTATATTAATGACACCAAATTCATTTAAATGTACTAAAATCACAAAAAATACAAGCATGCTCAAACAATCTGTTCTGCATGCAATAACAGTGTACTTGTACCTAAACTGTTAGCAACACAAAAGTTTTCTCATTCATAACACCTAGTTCCACATCACCATTTGCAAAATTGTTCATTGTACATACACATTTGGGAAAAGGATCATAAATTTCGTATCTAAACTTACAAAGATTGGTGACTGACAATTCTTGACTGATACATGTATGTTCATATTATAAAGGACCTGAATGAAGTCTGGAAAGAAGGGAAATGTACAATTAGCTACACCCATGGTAGGCAAAAGTACAGTTGTTTTTTTCCTGTTCTTCATCTCAACACCACAGTCATGACAGTGAGGTCTTCAATTTGGAGCAAAACCTCTCAATGAGTCAACATGAAATTAGTTCACAACAGCACATGGAAACTAGGGTCTCTAGGCAAAAGTTTAAACTGTAAGAGGATCTAGAACTAAAGTGTGTAGGCCTTCCATGTGTGGACATGCTGTAGTACTCATCAACATTGCTCCAGATATGTGGGAATATAGTTGGACATATGAAGGTCGCTGGTCTTTGGAGGTGTATGGAATTTACCTATAAGAAAGCTCTAATAAAAAGCCAGAGTCCACAACCAATCTAAAGAAAAGAATACTTGACCAAAATTTCTCTGGCTCTCCAGGTTATGGATTAAGCAACAAACCAACAAAATGTACTCATACAAAAAAATGTAACAGAAACCGGATGTGCCCTATATATATACATGTGTATATGCGTTTAGTAATTCAAAATTCAATCAAACTTCATGTTTTGAAAACGGGGAGAAAATTGAGATTCTAGAAAAAAAGGGAAGAAATTATAACAAACTATTTGAATCTCCACTTCTCACCTTCACTCTTTTGAAAATTACTTGCACAGACAAACTATACCTGTACAAGTAATATATAAATATGACACACTGTTGACATTTTCATCTAAACTACAGACATAACAATTAATACTGTGCAGTTACATGTACTCAAATGTGTATGTACAATTGTTTTAGCTTTCTGATGTGGAAATCAAACTTGCAAGCTAAATAGTTGACATGCTATTTTGTGAACCAATGTTTTTTTTCTACCATTTGCTTACCATAAAACTGAATCATACAACAGAAGCCTGAAAATCATATGTTGAAAATAAATATATCAACTCAGACTACAATACAAATATATTTTTATGTGGGTGTAGTACATGTACATTTTGCAAATAACTTTATCCTGAGCGATCTATAAAAATAACCATTCACCCTAAAAAAAAGACGTTTTAAGTGATTAACTCTGACAAACTTATCATGTACATATATGGATATTGAATCTAAGGATGGGAAGTTAGACTCAGTGAAGCACTTGTTCCGTGCGCTATGCTTAAATTGATTTGTACATGAAGCATTGTATTTCAAAATTACTGTTGATTCAGTGAAAATTTCATTGCATAAGGTTTCAGAACAGATAGAAGATTGATCCAGTGAAAAATTCATTGCCTGAGGAATCTTTTTCAGAACAGAAAGAAGAAGGGAGCATTGTCAGATCCCTATAGCCAATGAGTGACACAGGATCTATATAATATTTCAATTAAATTGAACTTGATACATCATGTACATGTATGTAGTTAAATATCTTTAATAAAAACATCACTTGACACAGGTATTGAAGTAAAAATTTTGTAGCCAATATATAAAGTTCTATACAACTTGTCAAGAAAAGCAGAAATTTTAGTAGCCCACACCATATTTTAGGGGTCATTGACGAGTGGGCCCCTGCTAATTTCAAACCCTGTGACAACTAAATGTATCAGGATTCCATCAAAAATTTAATGTATACCCTTTTGGGATAATTCCAACCATTGCTGGTGTTGCATCTTGTAATAAACTATGATGACATATTAAAGAGATAATATACATTTACAATGTAGGAAAGTTTATTCTCAAATGCACGTTGAAAACTACTGCTACATGTTATTGTATCTGTTAGGAATATTCATCATGTTGATAAAGACTGCACACCCACTAATATATGTTTAAAAGTATAACCTTTAAACTTTAAATAATTATATTTTTCACTTCAAAAAATATTAATAATTCAACTCACTCATGCATTTGGGATTGCACAATGAAAACTTAGATTAAAAAGTTAATAACTTTCTACTCGAAATTTTATTATTAAACTCTGCATTTGACAATATTGCCTATGTCTTATCTAAATTCAGGTATTTGGTACATGCAACAAAAGTCTTTGTGTGTAAATATTTTTAGGCCTAACACATAAAGGGTCGGTAATGAAATATTTTCTATTTCAGGGATTTTCCAACCCTCATTTTGGGCCCCAATCCCAAAGAGAAATATGCTCTTTTTTTCCCCAATTTTCAGCTCTAAAATTCCCAATCGTATAAAGACATCGTAGCGAGATTTTGTTGGTGTTGTATCATGGTTTTTCTCTCGGGGGGATGTCCCTAAACCCCCTTAGCAAGTTACACACGATGTGCCCTCCAAATAAAAGGACTAATATATTTTCCCCAAAGCCAACATTTCATGAACTTTTATTCCCAATTGCATCGGCCCTGGGCCCCTTCCCATAAGCACTAGGAAAATCACTGCTATTTTGACCTAAGCTGTTTTTTATTCAAGAAGGGACCCAAAAATTTTTTTTTAATTTTGTGTGTACTGAATTTAAAAAGAATCAGCAAAATAAAAAATCCTACCTACTTATTATTCTAAATGAGAGCTCACTTAAATCATATTTGTTTTGTTTGGCCTAGGGTCCAAAATGCTCTCGAGTCTTTACCTATTAGTAATAAAAAACAACTGAATGATTTTCACTAGTATGATTGCCAATTACACAACTAGCCAACAAAGATGTTAACAAATAAGCCATCCAACGACCTTCAATAATGGGGAAAAAAAATGAAGGTTAGCATAATAGTCTATAAAAGGCCCAAATTTTCCAAAATGTGAATTCAAAAAGGGAAAACCAATGGCCTTATTTATACTACTAGAAAAAGTTATTCTTGTGTGGAAAATTACCAGGCAGATACATGTACATGTACATGTAGTATGATTTTTTTCTAATTGTTGAAGGTTTTCAAAGAGTGTTGATCCAAAGGTTTTGTCCACCAAAATTTTGAAAAGGACAGACACACTTTTGTTTTTTTGCAATAGAATTAATAGTGAGGACCAGTACATGTAGATCAAAGAACAAGAGGGAAAACAAGATTTTGAGAACTCCAACTATGACCTTTAACTGTTTATATCCACGTCATTTGAACTCTGGTGGATACAATGCATGTCTCATTGACATACATACCACATCTCTTTATATTATGTAGTGAAAAGAAACAACACAAACTTCCAATTGGGGAACTACATGTTTTCCTAAAATATATAACAATCCCTCAATTGTGTAATAATTTGATTGGTATTAAACAAGAAAACTGTTTAGCACTCTTCACTTAAAAAGGCACAAATTTATAAAAAAAATGGAACATATTATCATGTTAATTATTTTGAGTTTTAAAATGAAAGTAGCCTAGAAAAATGTTTTTCTGTAGTTTTCAAAGGCTTGTAACTTCTCAAATAATCAGATTAAGACTATTTTTGTTTAGGAAATGCTGCTGAATTTATCATGTATATGTGCTATTTCAAATATAAGATGTATAAAAAAAAAAGTGTTTTAACATAGAAAAATATCCTTCTCTGTGTTGGAACACTAGAAAGTATAATTACATGTACATCATCAGGCAAAAGAAAATCATTTGGGGAACTACTCCAATTTGACAGGCTGTCCTATATATGCAGTTGTTTAAATTCGCTACATTTGTCAATCATACCACATCTCCTTATTTTATACTCATACTTTGGTATGTTTTTATTATAAGTTTTTGGAAATCACGCTGGTCAGTAAATAAAAACCTTTTTCTAAATGCTTGAATGTATAGACTCATTCATGGACATCTGCCGCACACTTCCAGGGGTAAGTCTGTCTATATTACAAAAACTGTCATGTCAGGCTTACAAAATGTATTTAGATGATGGAAAATGTTATTAAACAATATTCCTTTTAACATGATAAAGTAATGATCAAACACACCTTACAAGTCAACTTTACAATAAGGAAATCTTTATTCATAACCAAAAACTCACTTCAAAATGATTAAAATAATCTGCTCAAAAAATTAAAGGAGAGGCCATTTCATTTTTCTCTAAATATGTTTTCATTTAAAACATACATGTTCTCCTTCTGGCTAGACAGGAGTATATAGTTCTACAAAGTGTTTCCTTTTTTCCCTATATTATAAAGAATATGTGTTTAATAAATCAATTTTATAAATGTAGTAGACTTACCTGAATCATACCTGTGTGAATGACAGGTGTTTCACTTGATTATCAATATTTTATCAAAACATAAACAATGGCACATGGCGTATACTCACCTCACGATTTCCTTCGTTTTCTTTGTTGTCGTCTCTTTTCAATTGACATCCATTAATGAATGATGGTTGTGCGATATTGTTTAATTTACAATTATAATCTGTGATGTACATTTTCACGGGTTTATCATTTGCTATCAAAAGTCCAGTTTCAGAAATTTGTGTGGCTACTTCCGCCATTTTCAATACAAATGAAAATGTTTGCTTATCAAATTTAATCACGCTCCAAAGCCCACGATAATGTACTGTATCTCTCCTCGGGTCACCTACCAATATAATAATTTATGTTACATTTAAATGTTCAACAATGTTTCATAGTATTTACTAAAGCGCAAATTTTACGTTGACAATGGTCGAGTAGTCTGTTCTTTTGGGCGATCAGCTGCTGCATTTGAATAAAAACCCGGATGTCATCAAGTGGTTTTGTTTTACAACAGTGACATCTGGCGGGAAATATAGAGGTGATGAAAACGAACATTGATTTTGCAATAAACAATTTTATAGTTTTGTTTAAATTATATAATGTGTTTCTATTCTGACATTTATGATAATAACGACCTTTTTCTCTATACAGTAGATTTATACTATGTGATGGTTTGCAATGTGCAACTCTTGAGTGCGACTTCACCGGGTTTTTTATTATCTAAATTTTCACCGACAGTAAAAAGATACAATGCATGAAATTATATATTACATTTGGGCTGGGACTATAATAGTCCTAGATTTGGGAGTAGTATACAATATAGTATGTCCTAGGTTATATGTCATGTATTATATGTCTCTGTTCCAATATGTTGACAATGTATTTTTGATCTCATCTTCCAAGAAACACCTTTAGCTTAAATAATTTTTTTTTATGCTTAATGCATTAAACCAGACGTCAATTACTTATTCTGGTAAAGCCGACGTTTAAAGAGAGCCGACATAACTTACACTGCAGAATAAAAAAGGATGTGAATTCAAAGTATATAGTACCAAGGATTTGTATAGTAAATCCTTGATAGTACTATTTAGGTCCAATTGAAAAAAAGGTGGTGACACTCAGTTTTTATATCTTAAAAGCCTGGTAGATTTTTCTAGAATTTTAATAGAATTTTTCTAAAGCAGTAAACTATACTCTAGAAAAATTGTATTTGATTTATTGTTCAGTGGCGGACCCCCTCCCCCTTTTTTTGACGATCAATGCTTTTGAATGGGGACATATGGTTGGAACCCCCCTTTTTATCCTGGGTTTGAACCCCTTTTAAAAATGGCTGGATCCGCCCCTGTTGTTATAAAGAAATCCTCATCTCTTATTCATACATGGTCCATAGCTGTTCTCGGGTCATTATAAAAGTTCGAGGTGCGCTCGAATTGCACTACACATTTTACTGTACCCTGCTAGAATAATACATATTTTTTTTCACAAACAGGTTTTTATACCAGTTAACCAAACTGAATATTGCTTTACTTTAGAGGTAATGAGTCAGATATAAAGCTAAGGAAATCTTAATGTGAAGGGTTTATTTCCTACAAATTTTAATTACACGTATACCAAAGGCATTTTAAACATTTTAGGATATAAGTGCTCTTTCCGTTGTAGATCATGGAATTCTAAACATACTTCCTGTTTTTGTACAAAGGCCGTAAGTTTTAAACGAAGAAAAATCTTAAAATAATCCTATACACTAACATTTTCACGCATTTTAAGTTCTTCCTAAACTGGACAATGGCAGCCAGTGGTGAACATAGGAAGTTTACCGAGAGGGGCACAAATTATGGAAAATAACTTTTTTCTTACTTGACAACTTTAAATCCGTATTTGGCGTTCACAATTTTAAGCGAGATTTTCATCTATCAAACTCTTCAAAAAAAGACATTTATAAAATAACAGCTGACAAGCCCTGTACGCTCTGCAGGTGCATGTGTCCGTAGCCTTCTTGTTAAATAATGGAGTAAATTTACTAGAATCGATCAACAGTAAGCAACACGAGAGATACCACAGCACAGTGTAATATAAAAATAAGAAGATGGAATATGATTGCTAGTGAGACAACTCTCTCCACCAGCGACCAAATGATGTAGAAGGCTAGCAACTATAGATCACCGAATGGCCTTCAACAATGAGCAAAACCCATACCGCATAGCAAGCTATAAAATGCCCCGAAATGACAAATGTATATAAAACGATTCGATCAAATGAAAAAGTTCCCTCTATAAATTTCATGTCCAAACATTAAACGACGTTGTTTATTATTAAGTCACAATAATTAATTGTAGGTTCAATTAAATAATTAACGTTTTAAATTTCACGAAGCATTCATCTTGCGTGTAAAACACAAAGATACACCTGTCTGATAATCTAAAAGGTGATCAAAGATCGCATTGATTAGGTACATAAGGATACTATCTTGACTTTAAAAGGCCGTAATAGATATACTTTGTGATTTTAAAGAATTTTAAACTTGTATCAAAGAGACTCTCTTAATACTTATCTGCATATACATGTACAATAAATTAGAAATTTTCGTTACATATTCAAATGATTTTGAATATAATATATCTTATAATTTATGAATCATTTCTGAATTTGAAACTTGGTGTAACTTTGAACGTACTTTTAATTCAAAATACTGCGGGAGCGTATTTTTAAAAAAATATAAATATTCTATTATATGATCACCCGTGGAAACAATTTGTTTCAATTATTTAGCTTTGGCAAGGTTGGGTCGGAAAAAAGTATGAAGAATACTAACTATACATGAATACATGCCTGAGGGTCTGTATGGGGTTTACAAATAAAGAATAATGGACAAAAAGGATAGCATAAAGGGTAACAAAAATACAGAACAGACAAAAATAGAAAAAAGAGTTATAGAGAATGATGGGGTGTTAAAATATTTTTGAAGAAATAAGATTTTAGAAAATAAGGGACAATATAGAGAAAAATGCGCTACACAATTAAAGAATAAAGTAATGAAGGACACCTTCTAGATCCTCATATATGCGATGAGAAAGACAATCAACGATTACCACAGTGATTATAATAAATAAAAGACAATAAGATATACAATAGTCAATAACACACAACAAAAAAGTAAAGATTGAGCAACACCAGTCCCACCAAAAACTGAGACGTTTCCCAAGGGTCAGCAAATCCCTTTCCACCAGTGACACCGCCATGTATGTTACCCCTTTTAGTAGCATCGGCAAACGTTTCTTGTCTCACACCAAGACACACTATAGTGTCAAGGCAAGCTATCCTGTAATTCCAGAAAATCTCCTTGAAAAAAGATATTCGAAATGGCGTTCATTTATATTTTATATGCCAGACAACCAATCCGTCTTATCTTACTTTTTGAAATCCTCGACATTTTTCATGGATTATTCTTAAGGTATTATTGGTGTGATACATCTCATCCGTATTGCAATATACGGTATCTAAATCAGAATTTTCTCTGGTCTCAATCTGAAACATTTCAAAAGACCGAACAAGGGTGTCCGAAAGGACGTACACTCTTTTAACTTTCATATCTCACTGTCTTTGATGGGTCCGTATCTGCACTATTAGATATATACATTGTACCATTGTATGGGCCAGTGGCCGTCCACAATTTGCACTCTTCGTCCCTGCCGCCCACATGACAGAACTCACCTATTGCATGTAGCAATTGTTTTAATAAGCTTCTGGTCCTCAATATCCATGAAGTAATTGTCACTCGACGTCAAAATTAAGAAAGAAACATCCGATCATATCTTACTTTTTGAAATCCTCGATTTTTTTTTGTTGTCGTAATTAAATCAAAAGATTTTAGATAATATACTTTTGGATAGTACCGGACTTTTGGGGAAAACGACAAATGGCGTCCGAAACTTTGAAAATGTCATGTTCTATAATGGGTAGCGAACAACTTTCGATCCCGATGAGTTCTGAAATCCTAGGCATCTTTTGGGGTACTTCAGTAAATTCTGATATTATCGGATTCCTCACGAAAATATCATACAGTCCGAAAATGGCATCGGAATCTTTGAAATACGACTAATTATACACGGATTTGTTGGAATCGTCAATATGAGATTTTCGTTTATAATTGTTTTGGTTACAACAAATCGTAGATATGAGATGGGACTAATAGTCCCAGATATGAGTTATGAATCCGTATAAGTCACTTTTAAGGTTTTTTTTATATGACATAAAACGTTATTCAAAAGGTTGCTATATGCGAAAAAAAAAGAGAAACAAAACAACCTACACTATACGAAAAATACAAATCGTTTCTTATATCAGCTTTGCAAGACCCTTTCCAAATTAATGTACCATTGGTATATGTAAGAGGGTCAAGAAGGGGTTTACAGAATAGAGAATAATGGACAAAAGGTGCAGAATAAAGGACCAAAAAATAAAGAATAGAGAGAAAAATAAAGAATAGAGAATAAAGGGGTGCTAATATACAAAGAATGGAGAATGATGTGCAAAATAGATAAAAAAAAAATAGAAAAGTCTTGTGTATAAATGTCCATAAATACAATGGCTATAAATGTATCACGCGAGTGTTTTCTATTTCAATCGTTTTTAGGCATGCCTTTAAACAAGAGAAATCATTGGACTATGCGTACACCTGCTCATCTATGTACTAGAACAGTTGTCTCATTGAAGAAATAAAAGTATTTAAAATGTACGTAATATTACTTGTAACATACAAGTATACACACGTACACAAACATACAGAACGTTGCGGAAAGGGATTACGAAGCAAATCGACCTAGCATCCCTAAAGTCTGTTGACGGTTTCTATTAAATTAGCTATATCACATTGAATGTTATTTGTATTACTACACAGACAAATATTTTCACACTTAAGCAAGTAACTATGAAATCAGTTTCATAATAGGACTGAATTAATGGAAATTCTTCCGGTTTAAATGCAAAACTATGGATACGAAAACCCAAGAGATGAATGAACTTAAAATATTTATATACTAGTAATGGCTTATGGAAAAGAAATTGTATTATCCATTTACTTTGACATTTTGTTGTTGTAATTGTGTTAGAATTTGTTTTAGCTACCGATGCAAGTTTCAGCCTGAGTGTACTTTATATATATATACTCGTTTATTTCATTTTTTTTTGGTTGAAAACGCCAAGCTACAAGAGATGTAGTTTATACATTCAATCTACTTTCTTGTGGCGAATGTAACTCTTTTCATATCGATTTTATTATAACCAGCTATGACCACGCCAGGCAATACGATGTTTGTCGCGCGAGGAACAAAATGTGTGTCGCGTGAGGAACATGATGTGTGTCGCGTGAGGAACAAGATGTGTGTCGCGTGAGGAACAAGATATGTTTATCCTTCTGGATCACCTGATACACTCTCGGTTTTAACAGGAGCTTAAACCCTCACTTCATTTATAGTCGACCTTATT